TGATATTTTACCAGACTTTATAGGATGTTTATTGTGACAGGAAACTCACAGCAATTCTCAACAATGAATGACTAAACTTAGACATGCTCTTGACTAAGGAGCCTCTGTTATATTATTCTACAGTGAAATTTTGACAGTGAAATTTGTGAATGCAATGAAGTCAGGAACTTTTCCTCATTAGCTAAATCACCTTGTGTGACAATTGTAACTTACTATTGTACCATGGCTATCAACGTTTACATTTAAAATCTAGTATTTGTATTGTAGGTATTGCAAAAACTATAAATAATCTTGTATCTGCTTGTGTTGTTCTATCAGTTTGCTTGAATATCCTCAACCTTGCAAGCCAGAGTCACAGAATAAGGCACACAGAAGGGCCACTTACGTCGGAAGCTTTGAAGTTTCTGTCACCCTGGCCGCCATCTTCCTAGCCAGTCGATTACATTTTCTGGCCAATAAACGCGCCGTATTAGCTGAAGATCCCGCCTTCTGGCCAGTCAACCGCATATTTTTGCATAGAAAAATGGCGACACGTTGCACCGCTGAGTGGCCCTTCTGGTACTGATCTTTATTCTGTGCCAGAGTCCTAATGCCTCCGCACTTGCGGAGGTATAAAGACCCTAGCCTGCGTAGCAGGCGTTTAGCTGACGGGCGGGTACAGAGGAAACGCCTGCCCAAATTGGCTATGACAAATTTGTTTTCGCCCATTAAGGATGATTGACGTTTTGTAATTAGCACCTTCACCCATTATCCAATCATAGTCGAGATTTATATTTAGCATCATGCATGCTTTTTGCTCGGCAACTGCGGAGATTTGCAGAGATTTTATGCACTATTTAAAACACGAGCAGCAGTGTTTTATCAGATATAAAGATGGTCTGATAAAACACGAATGTTTGAAATTGCTTCAAAAACGATCGATCTAGTATACGTTCATTGGCGAAGTAGCTTTCAAAAAATTCGGTGTGTATATATAGAGAAAATCATTAAAATTTCTGTAAATCAAGGGAAATCTCTATCACATATCAAGGATACGACACGTTTATGATTTTTCTTTGTGTTTTCCTCATGAATTATTAATGAGTTTTTGAAGCTATTTTAGACAACAGTCGGTCACAACGTGCACAGAGCTTTTATCTTTTAAAAGATTCCTGAACCACTGTTGTTTAACGTATTCTGCCGTATAGCAAATATAACAGTTGAGCATGTTTTGAAATGTTATTCTTAAAATCATCATGCAACCTCATAGCTGCAATGCCAAGTGATATAGCCTTAACTATCTGGTCTTGAATTATACTTTAAAGTGAACAAATAACAAGATAACTATATTAAAGAAATATTCAGGATATATTTAAAATGTATAATTGAAAGATCAAACTTTTCCGTATTCCTTAGGAAGAATCGCGATAACCGGCGTCTTCACCACGTAGCAAATTAATAATATACTTTCTCTGTTCTGGTTCAACTGAATTTCGAACCCTAAATACTTGAAATATAAGAAAGTTTCCTCGAAAGCATTAACAGGCGGCATATTTTTGATACGGGACTATAAACGCGTCAACGCGAACAAAATTATTGTTGACATTTGAGTTACGTAATTACTTCCGTTAACGAGATTAACCAATGGGAAGCTTTTCCGAAGATTCTTCGGAGAAGAACAAATTAATCATAGGCATTTGGGCAGGCGTTTATTTAACGACGCCCTTTCTTCTCCCGCCCGCACTAAACGCCTGCTACGCAGGCTATAAAGACCCCGGCTTGCGAGGTTGAAATGTCTTAGGCTAGCCACATGTACGCACTGCGTACCTATTTTTTGTTGTTTTTGGAGCTTATACTATTCATGTTTAGTGGCGAAATTTCCTGCTGCACAATAATATTTGAATGCGTATTAAACTATTATGCTAAAAAACAATGGATAATTCAATTAACATTCCAATTTTATGTTAACAAAAACAAAACGTGCGTAGCAAATAAATTTCAGTCACTTAGCGAATAAATTTTTACATTGTCATTGGCGTGTTAATTAAATTAAACCACCTCGCAATTCCATTCACAAATGTAAATAATCATGTAAGTATTTTCTCTGAAATGTTGGTTTTCTATGCTTAGCATGTGAATGTGATTTATAACAAAACGCACCATTAATTAAAACAGTGTTTTGAAAACCTAATTTTTTACAAAATGTGTTCTCAGAATGCTGGAAATGCCATTTCCGGGATACAAATTATAAAATTTTCCGTGCCTTCAGCACAAGCCCCCCATTATTTCGTAAAGTGTCTGATCTAATGAAATCCTCGTGTAAGGATGAGAGTTCATTATCGCTTGGCGTGTTTGACTATGAATTCTCAGCTTTGAGCTAAATCAAATTTTGATGCCGGATAATTTGCTCAGTTAATTTTTTTCTCGCGTGAATTAGCTTTCAAGAAGTTCTGAATGCCTTGTGCTTTAACAGCTGCTAGTTTACCTCGTAGAGGAAATCATACGTCAAAAGGATCGTTCCATAATGTTCACTAAGCATAGCAACAGTGCCATCTAGTATTAGGAAGCCCATGCAACTGTTCTTCATGCAACCCACCAAGTCGCTCATTGTTTTGCCGTTGTATTTACTCTCGAAAGAGCCTATTGTTTAAGCTAATACTAGAGTTGCTCATACCTTGCAGCAATGGTAGCCAGTCTGGTGCTGACGATCCTGGACAGTCTCGTGAAGATCAGTTAGCAACACGAAATACAGCATCTCCTATACCACCAGCTGTTCAGAATAATATGTGGTATAGCTGTAGAAGATTGATTTACATTAAAACTAATCCCAAAGTTAATTCACCTGTTGGTCATTGGCCTATACCAGAGTCGTTCTGGCCAGATCATTCCACGATAACTTTAGTAAGTATAAATTTAAGTGATAGCAAACTTGGTCGCCCATGTTGGACAAAGGTGCACTTACTACAATATATATGTCCTGTTTTGAACTCAAAAAATAGCATGGGCAACTTAAGTTAGCAATTCTAGTATGAACCGATTATTATGACTTTCAATGTCTACGAATTTGCTTGAGTGCACAAAAAAACAATATCCTGCAATTGAGGTGGGGTATACATGATATTGTTAATAAAATCTATCAAACTTGGAACAATCAGGGGAATGTGCACAGGCTAGGGAATAGTTTACTGTACTGTATATGACTGATTTTCTTACGATCTCGCTATATCCAATATCGCCTCCAATGAAGAAAATTGTTTGTACCACAGGGTTATGTTCTTAGGTCGTTACTGTTTCTATATACGTGTTTCTTAGTCTGACAAGTTTAATTTCTGTCAATTTCCTCACGATACAAGTATCCTTAGATCGAAATATGCGCACACACAAAGCATGCCAATGACTGAGAGCCAATAAATTACCTTAATGGACCATTTGCATTATAGACTAAATTTTGATCTAGACAAAAATTTTATCACAGCTTGAAAGAGCATCACAAAATTAGTAATATTCCAAAGTTTCGTTACGAAATGTTGTAAAATGCGGATAATATGCCTTGCGAAATTTGCAATTTTCAGTCATTTTGTGTTACAAACGGGAAATTGATGCCCCAACACCCGATTGGGCTGTCAATTTCCCGTGCGTAATACAAAATGACTGAAAAACGGCAAACTTCGCAAGGCTATATTATCCGCATTTTACAACATTTCGCAACGAAACTTTGCAATATTACTAATTTTGTGATGCTCTTTCAAGCTGTGATGAAATTTTTGTCTAGATCAAAATTTAGTCTATAATGCAAATGGTACATTATTAAAAAAATAGGAACGCATATAACATCTCCAAAGAATGTATGACAACAAGATTAAACAAAGATATAAAATATAAATTATATTTCTTATAATGCGTACGTTAGAGCTAAGGTTAACAGCAATCGTGATGTATTATGTTGCAACTCAAGGTGTCTTTGGTAAATCCCATAATTCTACTAAGTTTGCTTCCTTTTTGTCGTCCCAAGCTAGACGTTCCCTGCAGTCACCATGTTTCCAAACTAAACTTATCAAGCCATGTGGGGGTTGGGGCGGGAGCAGGGTGGAACCCGGGCGGGGGAAAGTCAAGGCCCCAGAATCTTAACGATTTTAGCCTTTGTATGCCTTTAGAGCAGCTCAAAATTGCTTTAAAAATTTTTTTTGTTGTGAAACGAATTGCAGGCAGTATGTTCGTTTCTTTTTCTTACTTTGTTGGGTTTCCGACGGGAAAAATTATTTGCACGTCACAATTTTAACTCAGACAACGACTTTTGACCAGATTATTGAGTTTCAAAACTCAAAAAACCTAGAAAAAACCCTGTTAATTGATATAGCTTTATCCTAATTTGTGATCATTACAACTTCTAGGAACCACGGGATGCGGATCCAACAGTGCTGTTCTCGTGTGTGAATTGTGAACCAATGGTGATGGATTTATTACCATTTGATAAATACGAACTAGAAAGATCTCCGCTGACTCAGTATATCTTGGAAAATGTTAAACCAACTCATTGTTGGCAGGTCAGTTTTTATGTATTATCTATAGATGTCAGTACTAAAAAATTACTAAGCACCTTCTTATCAAATTGATTGAATCATTGCGTTAATTCAATTCATTCGAAAGACACATAAAACAAACTTACTGCTATTTTAATATAATTTCCGCAACGTATCTGGCAAAAATTAAATAATAAATCACGAACTATGTCTTCAAGAAGTAGTTCTGTATCATTTGCTCTATATGCGATACAACATTCCTCGTTACTGTATTTCATCCAATCTTGACAGTTTATTTTAATTAGATGCAAGCACACGCAGCGGACCATGCGAGTTGGTTTTTGCGATGAGTAGAAAAGATCCTTAAGGCCATTTCCCACTAGACGAATTTGTTCGCGCGAAGATGAAGCGAAAAACAAATCTTGGTAATGTGATTGGTCAGCGAAAAAATTATACTTTTTTACTGTTCGCGCGAACAAATTCACGGTTTTATTCGCCTAGTGGAAAATGGGTTTTAAGGGATGCTATAAATGCGAGAAAATTTCATTTAAAAATACCACGGGATGACTTATAGTCGTGGGTTCATTAAACTACCATGCATTATTATACTATTCGCCAGCATAAGATTCCATTCAATCAGATTGCCTGTTAATGTAATACTGTTAAACCTGATGACAATACTCGCCACAAGACGACAATTTTTATTTTTACGATAAGTAGAAGAGGTCAAAGATTGAATATGAAATACTTTCCATTTCCCTTTCTTTAGACGTATATATCAGGAAGCGGGAAGAACAGTGAACTGGGATACCCATTCGGATACTTGAAAGCCAGTGTTAATTTTCAAACAGTGAATTTATTTGTTATGCCGTATAACTACCCTATTCTCATCCCACTGCTAGGTAAGATAATTTCACAATCGCGATTATATTCACCAGGTATACGGTAATATTTTCATGTGAGATGAGGTCTTTTACATTTATTTAGTGATTAGTCTCCAGGGCGTTCTCCAGACAAATACGTAGGATGTTTGTGCAACCAAAATGCTCTCTCCTCCGCAGAGGCTTGAACCTTCTGGCGTAATTACGAATTCTTTCTAAATTATTCCTCTAAAAGTAAGAAATGTGTTACAATAAGAACTTATATTTAATACATTTGCGTTCTCCGTGCCAACTGCGCTTTGAACCATGCGTCTTGGCGAGATTCTATACATCTTTTTCCAGAGTTTGAACTGGTCTGGGGATGAGGCGGAGCTGCATAGATTTTAAACGTATCTGCATGCATTCTTTACGTTTCTAAAAAAAAATCCAGATGCATGTAACTCGAATTTCATCTATGCGATGAGCAACTGCGGCCCCAGAAATTGAAAGTACAATTTTCGCCACTGCATCATGGTGGATGAAATTAGAATTGCAAACAATCCTCATGGTTAAATTCATCTAACCTGTCGAAGATGACGAACCTAAATTGAACATATTTTGTGATTGGCTACCTTAAACAAAAGTGATCAATGTTTATGACTCACTCTTTAGAAGTTTATAGTTTCATTGTTATAATCAACTTTCCCTAGGGCTTCGTGATGATCCTGTAACATGATTGTCACATTGTCACAACAAACATTGACTTCAACAATGAATAATTTTATATTCTTAGATGATCTTTTCAAAGTTCTCAAACTAAACCCGACCCCTAAATGGAGACAATTGTTCGACAAGTATCTGAGTGATCTGCCAAGCTACTATGTTGGGGTAAATATGTGTGCATGCAAATATTGCGCATATACTATTAGTAAGGTCACGTGTGGCGTATGGGGGGGGGGGGTGTTTCGGTCTTATTGAGTTCACGTAAGACAGAGTTGAAAGATTGCTCAGATCTCTTTGGCCTCGACCGAGCCGATTACAGCATCTCCAGCTGGTTATATGAACATAGATGGATGAAAGTATACACTAAGCATAAGGTTGATAATATATATAACAAACTTTCGTTGGTATAGGGATACAACTAAATTATTGCATGTCAAATTTCTTTGTTTCGAAAGCGCGTCGTTGAACCGGCCGCGTCGTAGATCGTAAACTCTCTATTATTGAACCGTCTTTGCCAGTGTAGGTAGTGGCAATATTAACAAACTTTCGTTGTTAGGGATGCAACTACCTGAAAAACACAAAGCGAAATTCGACGTTTCGAGTGAAGGCCCAGGCCTCGATAACATTTTTTCGTGCCTGCGAGCGAAATTCAAAATGTGCCTGCAAAAACACATCTTACTTAGATTTTGTGACCTAAATATTGTTAAAATGTCAGTATTTTAAAATGTGCCTGCAAAAATGTAAAAGGTGCCTGCGAGCGGCGCTCGGACGCCCGCGCAGTTTATCCATGGCTGTGAAGGCCCTTCGTTCGGCTATTACCTGACGAAAGACCTTCACTCGAAACGTCGAATTTCTCCTTGTATTTTCAGGTAGTTGCACCAACGAAAGTTTGTTATTATTGCCACTACCTACACTGGCAAAGACCGTTCAATAATAGAGAGTTTACGATCTACGACGCGGCTAACCTGCGATCAGGCCTATAAATATATTTGTAAAATAAATCCTGATCTCCGGTTACGACTCGGCTGGTTCAACGACGCGCTTTCGAAACAAAGAAATTTGTCATGCAAGACAAAAACTGTGAATAATTTGTGGTCCAAGGGGTATTACCAACGGCTTTGTCACCCTCAACACCACGTTAAACTAAACATCACCAGGGGCGTAGAAAGCATCAAAAGATTGGGGGGGGGGGGGGCGCCCAAGAGGTGTTATACGTGAAGTCGAAATTACAGCAAACATTGCATCGCTTTAACCGAACTTAGCACTTTGTAAGGTTATTTGAAAAGCTTGAAATATTTATTACAGTTAATCAAATTGCTTAGCGCTCATTCTTGAGCTGAAATTCAGACCGCGTCGTTGAGCCGGCCGCGTCGTAGATCGTAAACTCTCTAATATAATATAGCGCTGCCTGGCCTTGGTACAACTGGCCCCTGTTGTCTTAAAATATAAAACGGAGGTAGGTCAGCGGTATTGACAATCATTATTTTAATAATAATACTATAGTACTGTATTTTTGTATCTACTTTATCTACCTGTAGCCTCTACGAACTGCATTACGTCGAATGGGTGCAAATGCAAACATGTTGATACCTGACCACATTGAAAGTTCATTGAGCAACAGCATTCAAAGTTATCTCAAGAAACTGAAACAACAGGTATAATTTAATGGAATTACAAGTTCTTCAAAATCCTAATTACTGAAAAGCCTTTTAAGGGATGTGAAAAAAGATGGAATGAAAATACTGAGTGTGCATGTTCGCGTCACTTTACACTATTAGTATTTATTTTAAAAAAATCTTTTTACACGATAACTAATCAACCATGAAATATTTACAAAGTTAACTTTAAAAGTCACTCCCTTCGGGGGTCGTTTAATGCATGATTCCAAATTTGTCTGATACCAAATCTGAAATCTGTTTCATTGAATTTTTTGTTTCAATAACATGATAAGCATGTATTACTTCGTAAATCGCATCATGCAGAACATATCGGAAATGGTTTCACTTAATCAGGACATTAACAATAACAATAAACTTTTACAAAAATATGGTATATTTCTCCCCCATAGTTGGCAGCTCTTTCTTCAAAACATCTGAGGAGTGCATTTTATATGAATCGCCAGTTGAAACATTTGGTACCAATGCCCTTTGACACTTTTTACTGCTTTTCTCTTTCAAGGCCTGCACTACACCAAATTCATATGTATACTAGTCCTAATATTCGCATCCAGTGAATGTTAGTGAATGTTAGTCGAATGAGCGCATGTATTATATTGACACTTGGATTTGAAAAATATGTCGGTTTAATCGATTTGATTTATAATAGTGGGAGTGCTTTTTCCAAAATAGTCTTCTCTTTAAGTCTATTTGTAAGCAGCTGTTTGTGTTTCATTACTTATCATAAGACTATATGCTTATTATTTTATAGACGAAAGTTGAAGCAGATAAAGTTCTGGCTTTGATTGGAAAGAAGACCCTTGGCCCTGTTGACTTTGGAAGGCCTGCAGCGCAGTAAGAATTGAAATAAATATTGACTTCCTTGATATATTACAATTTCAAATTTAGATCTAACACATGACTTCAATATATAATTATTATCTTGTGTTTAAGGTTAAATTGTCCACAATCACCAACAAGCATGCAAAAACGAGATTTCCACGACGTATTGCATAATATTCCTAGTTCTGTGCCCAGGTAATTGCTTCATCTTCTTTCACTCTTTCGATCAGTTTATACTGTGCATTGCTTTGCCACGTTGCAAGTACGGTATGCTTATTCGTTGCCCATATCAGGTTAATTATTCTTTACGAAATTACAGTTTCTAAATTCTAATCTGAGGGTTTTCTAATAAAACATCACTTGTGTTTTTATAGCGCCAAGTCCGCAGAAGTTGCCAGTGTTAAGAACTTACCGGAATTTAAAGAGGTACAGTTAGCTGTAAATATAAAACTAATGTTATTCCGAAAAAAGTATGCATTTTAATAACACATTTATTTTAAAAACTGTATATTTCGAATCTATTTTGATTCATCTTCAGCAGTATGTATTTACAAGATATGGCGTAGAACTATATAAGTTGGCTGTGGATGTTCACTCATGAATTAAAATATATGTTGCTACGTACGTTGGCACGTTAGAGGGGGATAGATTTACTCGATTAAACGCCGCATTCGAATAAACGCAAAAATATTAATAAACACCGCGGCGTTTAATCCAGAAAATACGGTAAGAAAGCGACGTTTTTGTCAATATGGACGTCACCCGAAAATTAGTTTAACTAATTTTGGCGGCATTTTGCATCATAGCGCTCGTGTAAAGCAAAAAACTTTAAAATCTTATGTTTCGTATTGAAGATTATGATACAAACACAGTTTTTAATCCAGTTCCCTTCGGCAATCTCACGTCCGTGTTGATAAAAGCATCGCTTTCTTCAGCTCACTAATTGCAGTAGTACAGGGTTGGAGTTATTGTAGTAGTACAGGGTTGGAGTTATTGTTGTAGTACAGGGTTGGAGTTATTGTTGTAGTACAGGGTTGGAGTTATTGTCGTAGTACAGGGTTGGAGTTATTGTCGTAGTACAGGGTTGGAGTTATTGTCGTAGTACAGGGTTGGATAATTATCTTCCATGCGTTTTCTAACTTTATCTCTTTCACTCCAGCTTCCCAAAGTGCACCAGTATAAAAATCCTTTCGATATCAAGCGATCTGAGCTACTTGATCAATTGGCTCGTATGAGAATCAATTTCTTTCACACTGCGCCCACAGCAACGAGGCTGCAGGATCAAGGTAACAACACATTGTATAGTGATATCTTTAATAACCATAAATATGAGCGCTTGTTGCTCTATCTAGTATGCTTATCTTAGCACGTAAAGTAAAAATATCGTCAAGATTGAGTCATAGCTAAATTTATTTCTTGTTTGTTTTAGATTCAAGACATAGCATAGCCATCGGTCAAATGGGCAACTACCAGGACTACTTAAAACAGACAAATCCATTAAGAGAATTAGATCCAGGAATGAATAGAGCTCACATGTTTGGGAATCCTTTCAAATTAGCTAAGGATCAGGTTTGTGCATTCATCTTGCTCTTCAAGTTATCTAATCTTCAAAGACAAATGGATTTATTAAGAGGCAGTTTTTTCAATGTCGCGTTTTTGCGGTGAAATGTGTTCAAAACCTAAGATCGTTTTGGCGTTCCTCTCAAATTTACTTTGTTTTGGCTTTATTTTGTAGTTTACACGGTCAGCAACCTTTTTAAATGTACCTGGCGGTTGAGAAACACAAAATAATAGTTAAATATTGTCAATTTAAATACAATTATCATTGATGCTGTAAAACTGACGCCATATTTTTACAGCAATATATGCAAAACATACTGAACTCCTGACATAATTTTCTCTTTGGCGTACCAACTAAAATCTCTTCATTTTAGCATAATTTAACAGATGAAGCTCTAAACATAGTTTTTAAGTTTGCTTGCCGCTTGAGAAACTTCACTCAGAAACGTATCAAAAATTTTAAAATTTGGAAAAATATATTCATTAGTTTTGAGCGCGTGTTACGTAAACATACATACAAAATATATGGAATAGCTTATATGAACCGAGCTGACTCGTCAATCGTACCGAAACGTAACCATATAGATATCTTATATACACTAGATAGTGCATCTAATTATTCTGCAATTCAAAAATTGAAGCCGTGATTGCAGACTCAGGATATTCCCATGAAATGAGAAGACTAGTATGTTTTCTATTTCTTAAACAGGGAACTTAAACATTAAGTTAAACCTATTCCAAATACATTTTCAAACTATTCAAATGATGAAAGTTATTGTTTTTTTAAGCGTTTATTAGCGAGTGGGAAACTCCAACATGGCCGCCATCTATTCAAATGGGGGTAACCGCTGGAATATTCTTGGCTTCAATTTTAATAAAATAGATGCGCTATCTAGTGTATATAAGATATCTATGAACGTAACGTATTTCTTTCTTTCCTGAGCGGTAGTGTTGGTTGAAGTGGAAAACAGGCTTTAAAGATGTTCGTGACACGAATCAACCCGATTGGCCTGACTAGCCAGGCTCATTTATTACGTATACAAACTGACCTTACGAGAATTTATCCACTGAGATAAGTATCTCGCCGTTCACACGTATAAACACTGGATGATTACAGGGAAAGTCCTGGTGTTGGCAGTTCCCGACCATCATCTTTTTTCTGCCCGCACTTATGTTTTTTTCGTTGTGGTTGTCAGCTACCTGTTTTCGGATCGTTGCGAGTTGTTTACTTTAGTAGAACCCCGTTATCTCGAACTCCCCGCTATCTCGAACTGAAACCCATTTCCCGTGGATTTGCCCATGTACTATTTCAATAATTTTTACTCTGTCGTCACTACCTCGGTTAACTCAAACTCGCCATCTCGAACTAATTTTATTGAACAAACGCTCGTTAACGACTTTATCATATTCAGTTTGTTGGTTTTTTTTATGAGGTAATACATGCACGTATTTGATTTTAGAGCAGCAACATACACCAAATTAAAACCTACAGCACAATTGGTAAACGGTGTCTATTATATATTACAAAAGTCGTATCAATGGGTGATTGAATCAGGCAATTTAATTTAATTTAATTTTATAATTATTTCTTGTAATTTGACGGTTCGAGATAGCGCAGTTCTACTGTACTGTACGTGACGCAAACAAATGGCGACGTTGTTAAAAGTTTATGTCAAATCTTATTTGAAATGTTTATGTTTTGTGGTAATGCCAACTTATCACACACGTGGCCACTGCTGGCCAATGTCAAGCAAAACCCGTCCTAATTACCCTTGGTTTTCCAGGAACTATATTGACGAAGAACTAAGCTAAATATTCTTTTCCACTCATCGCAAAACCAACTCGCAAGTTCGCTGCGAGTGTTTGCATCTAATTAAAATAAACTGTCGAGCATTGTGATTGGATGAAAGTACACGCAGCGAGCTTGTACTTGCGATGAGCGGAAGAGCCTTAAACAGGATAAATAAGATTACTTTAAGCATTGATGATAGTTGGTGTAAAATAGTCCTCAGATGTTTCAATATTTTTGTTGTTTTAGCCAATGATGGTTGACGAAGCAGATGTACTTAACGAACCTGTGGCAGGTGGACCTTCACGCAAACGACGTGACAGCCGCTCACCCCCCGCTTCACCTCGTGAAAAACGACGGAGGGCTGATTTGAACCCTAATCTTGGAAAACGTGCGAACCCCCCTACCCCGCCCACATCACCGCTAGAGAATGTTAACCACCCACTACCCCCTGTATCTCAACCCGTCGCACACCTCCCGCAACCTCCAGGAATAATTAGCGATAAGCCTCCAATCCACAATGTACATTTAAACCACAATGTAAAAATACCTGTACCTGGCAAGAAACGAAAACTTCCGGAGGCTGAAGGATGGAATGAGCAACGTAAACAAGCCAAACAGAGTGTGAATCCACAACTACGGAAATTACAGCAACTTCATCATAATAAACAACACAATCAGGCAAACAGTGCGTTTACGACACCAGGGACTGCGGGAAAAGATAAACTGGAGTCTTCCAAAGATATTTCGTCTATATTAAGAAACGCGTGCATGGTTCCTAATACCTCAATTGCTAAACTTTCTTCTAATAAAGTAGATAACAAAAAAACTAATCATGGATTACATAATGATAGTTCTTCGATCAAAAACGATAATATGGGATCACGTAGAAAAGAAGTTTTGAAAAGTAAAGCATTAAGAAAGATTTATGAGGAAAATACGAAGCTTCGGCAATTGATATGTAAACAAATACGAACTTTAGGACAGGGTAAGTGCCTCATATCCTCTTCATTCCACATGTCCCATTATGTCAAATTGATGTACAAAAAAAAACGCTATGGAATGTTGTGCATTACAAACTTAACTAGACAATTCAATTTTTACATAGGACGAAAGAGCTGTTATTTAGCTTTTCTATGATACCTTTCTTAAACCGTAACGATGAGAAATGGCCACATACTCGTCAAATAAAAATTGTCGGTCGAAATCACATTCTTCCACCGTTGGGAATTGAAAGTACATTAATTATGCAAAGTTAATCAATCCAAAAACAACGCGAGCCTGCTGTAAGGTATTTGTTTCGTAAAACGTTTTGATTACGAATGTTTTCTGTTCAGTGGTTAATTGAACCATGTTTAATGCAATAATGATGTTCTTATTGTCTCACTAAGACGAAGATTGACGAGTTGAGCTTATTTTAGATAATTTAACATTCAATTTTAATTCCCTCTTGGGAATTGTTTGTTTCGTTTTCCATGCAATTCCCAACGGTGGAAGAATGTGATTTCGACCGGCAATTTTTATTTGACGAGTATGTGGCCATTTCTCATCGTCACGATTTAAAAAGAGTATCATTGAAAAGCTAAATAACTGTTCTTTCGTCCTATGTAAAAATTGAATTGTTTAGCCACGTTTATGATGCACGCCAGCCTGTTGAATAGATGATTCCCTTATTACGTTTTCGTAGCGCTTTGCATTGTGGTTATAGTGGTATCACTGATATTCAAGATGGCTTATTTTTTGTCCTGACCCGTACAAGAACTTTTAAAAAAGCCAGGGTCAGGTGCACGATAGCCAACAGCAAAATATTCGCGAAAACATTCAATATTTTCATTCGAGGCCGCTATCTTTATCAGTGATACCACTATAACCACAATGCAAAGCGCTACGAAAACGTAATAAGGGGAATCGTCTATTTCCATAGCGTTTTTTTAGACACCCTGCATGCATGTATAATTGAGAACTTTTCTTTCGACAGAGATATTTATTTCCAGTAGAGTATATATAGTTTTCCGTGAAAATAGATAGCAAGTTTTAGTGCAACTTGCAACGCATTCTCTGTCCCCTATCCATGTTATTTGAAGAGTATTCGCAGAGAAATTGAGAGCATGGCCACGTCATGCACATAAAGCCCGCCGCACACGAGAGCAACTTGCTGAGCTAACCGCCTCGCGAGGCAGCTAGCTCAGCTATGTATTTTCACCGCACACGTTGGGAAAACTACTCAACAACAACACAATCGACAAAATCATTTGCATTTTCCTCCATTTTGTTCCAAGTCACATGAAGAAACCATGGTTTGTCATTGGCTAATTGATTCAAACAGCTCAGCACTTAGCTCACAACATCCGCAGACGCTGAGATTTTCTCCTCGCGAGGCGAAAAATATCAAACACGATAGATATTTTCCTCAAGGCCTCGAGAGGTCAAATCCTCACGAAAACTATCCGCACACGAGAGCTACTTGCAGAGCTAACCGCCTCTTTAATCTTTCTAAGTTAAATCTCTGGGCGCAATACAAATTATATGCGCGCACAAGGATTCCGCGCCCACAAAAATTTCCATACGGCAACCGCAAATGGATGTTCTGTTATTATATACCGTGGATGTATTACTGAATTGCTTCTATGATTTTAGATTCTGATCCGGTCATTAGCCATCTTGAGAAAGTTCAAGGAACTCCTGAAAAGAAACAGGAGTTTGCTCGACTGATCATTGACGAAGCAGCGAGATTCAAAAAGAGTAAACTTGTAGAGCGATTGAACGCTTGGCTGACAACACAGGAACAGGCTGTAGGACAGAACAGCCGTAATCATGTTAAAAAGACTGTAAATAGATAGCGACAACCAAAACATACGTACACATGCATATACAGTACAATCCCCGCTGTCGACTTTTTTGTGGACAGATTTGTCATGTATGTACACATATCTTTGCAGTGGCGGACACTTCGCGAAATATTGGGAGGGGCGAACACTGTAGGTTGCCAACATACGACCATCTTTCGTAGCTGGAAATCTTTTGCTTTAAATTTCATGCTATATATATAGCTTAATTTATAGCCAACCAATGCTCCCATGGTTAAAAAATTATTGTTACGGCTTTGTTACATACTTGTCGCAGAGCCACACTCCCTAGTGCCCGCCACTGTATCTTTGCATATATAACGAAGAGATCCTACCACAGCAACTTCTTACAAAATTCTCGTTTACAGGGCTGTATAAAATAGAATTTGTCAACCTCCCTTACCTCAAAAGGTAAAAAATACAAAGCAGATATGTGATGTTGACCAGTGTTTTTTTTACGACGTAAAAGGGACTAACTAGGACGAAAAAAAAATTTAATACGACGACGGCAATGCTGTTTGACATCGTTGATTTAACAATGGTCTGTATGTTTGTTTTGCTACTTGTTTTGTTGAAATGTTGGTTTACAAATTGGATACACAAGTTGGTCACAAACTGGATATTGGTTGCCCTATAATGTATGCCATTTTTGCACTTTTCCCCGAAGATGCAAAGCTTTTGAAAATCGCTTTCTTCAAAGGGTGAAGTATCACATTGATAAATTTGTTTTTCGCTTCGCGCAAAACAAATTCACGCCCTAGTGGAAATGGGCCAGAGGACGAGATTCTTCCTCTATTTTACTGCGTTTCGGCTTAACTGTCCTTTCCATTAAGCCCCCTTTCCAGCAACCCCTTCTCACGCCTCAACATGCGTCAGTAAATAGCCGCTTCAGGGGCTTACCAGCGGATCTGCATTCGTAAGTGAACATAAGATGATGACATGACATGATTAACTTCGTAGTCATTTCAAGCTACGCTTTCAAGTTTAAGCCTGTCTGGCTATTATAAACTGGTTCAGCTGAGTTCGAGAACTGTGTTAGAAATTCAAACAGAGCGAACTAAGGCTGTAAAGGCTGACTGCCTTTTAGTAAGATTGCTTAACTACTAAATGCATACACACATGCCTATATGCAGCAACTTGCAAACGTCAAGTGATAGCATGACGACATGATTTAAAATTATTGAAGAGTAGTACATTCAATTTTAGAGACAATTTATGGATCCTTGGTGAACTTTAAATTCTAAAGCTGCCCTTTTCCCAGGCGCCGGGGAAAGCTCCGGGGTTATTGGCTCCGGGGTTAATATAGGTTTTAAATAGTGTGCTTTGAAGTTAAAATTTTATTTCATAGGGAAGGCATTTTAGTTTAACGGCAATTACGCAAACTGTATAAATGTTCATTTTAATGAGAGATCTTTGATTATTTTAAATTTCCATTCGCAGGCTAAAACCATACATGCATAGAAAGGCCTGCGGAGGAGACTAGGTAGGGCAATTGCTAGATAGTATACTTCAAAATAAGGTTCCGTTTTTATATCAATTTTTAAAATAATTAAAATAAGTTGGGGTTTAGGGTTAGGGTTTAGTTTAGGGTTCAATTTTTTTCTACGTTATAAAAACGGAAACCTTATTTTGAAGTATGCTAGGTAGCACTGGGTAAAGTAATTATTTGATGTCATATGTGAATGACTTCGTTTCACGTTTGGCTGAAAATTAGTGATGTCATAATGTTAGTTACTTAATTAAGTTAATTAGTCATCGCGAGGGTATAAAAGTGCATGCGCAAATGGAGATAATTAGTTGGTTGATGACTATCACAATGACAACTTATGTCGCTTGAAATAGTAAATAATTCCATCAGTTCAGCTGATCACTCGAACAAACTACACAAAATGAGATTTTGAACTGCTATCATTTTGAAAGTTTAGAAATTGTTCGTTCACATATTTCAACTTACGATTCAAGTTTTTCTCTTGCATGCGAGGACTGAAGCCATTGACACGGAGAAGAATAAGGCAACTTGTGGATGATAAAGTCACGCAGTTCCTGGGGCGTTGTGAAAACCCGGAATGCCGGAATATCACGGAATATGGCGGAATATCACGGAATATGGCGGAATATCACGGAATATGCCGGAATATTGCGACATTTTCCCGGAATATACCGGAACATCACGATATTTTCCAATGGTAGCCATGGGCATGTACTAAAAGGCGAAACGTCGAAACGAAACGACCGAAACGAAACGGCCGAAAATGTAAATTACAGGAAAATTGAAAAATGCGGATACGGACGGACGGGAGGGGGACAGGCGGATGGACGGGGGGACAGGCGGATGGACGGGGGGGACGGCTTCATTTGACACGAAACTCATTTTAAAATCAAATCCGCGTTTTGTTGAAAGGGATATATTAGGATATATTATAAAAGACTATTATTAATCGTAATAAATTGTCCGCGAAAAGTTGATAAAATACATGTGGAAATGCGGGGTTTCAGTCGAACCTTCGTAACGCTTGATCGGATAAAACGCGGATATGCTGCAACTTTCATGCTTAATTTTCTCAGTCATCTGGGTATGTAGTAATCTAATTTTATGCAATGTAATGTGTTATATTTTCAAGGGCTTTTCAATGCAGTTATCGGTTTTAAATATACCTAAAATTCCCGTTAAGAAATATGACAATTGCCGTACGGCCTACTTTTACGCAAACGAAAATTAGCTACAATTGCCACTTTCATGCTTAATTTTCTCTGTTATCCGGGCATGTAGTAATGTAATTTTTTGCCAATGTGATGTACTGATGAAATTTGCAGTTGTAATTTGCGTTTGCGTAAAAGTAGTCCGTACGGCAATTGTCATATCTCAACGGGAATTTGAGTTATATTTAAACCGATAACTGCATTGAAAAGCCCTTGAAAATATAACACATTACATTGCATAAAATTAGATTACTACATACCCAGATGACTGAGAAAATTAAGCATGAAAGTTGCAGCATATCCACGTTTTATCCGATCAAGCGTTACGAAGGTTCGAAAAACCCCGTATTTCCACATGTATTTTATCAACTTTTAGCGGACAATTTATTACGATTAATAATAGTCTTTTATAATATATCCTAATATATCCCTTTCAACAAAACGCGGATTTGATTTTAAAATTGAGTTTCGTGTCAAATGAAGCCGTCCCCCCCCCCCATCCATCCACCTGTCCCCCCCGTCCATCCGCCTCTTCCCTCGTCCATCCGCCTGTCTCCCCCGTCCATCCGCCTGTCCCCCCCGTCCGTCCGTATTTTTCAATTTTCCTGTAATTTACATTTTCGGCCGTTTCGTTTCGGTCGTTTCGTTTCGACGTTTCGCCTTTTTATTTGGTACATGCCCATGGCTACCATTGGAAAATATCGTGATGTTCCGGTATATTCCGGGAAAATGTCGCAATATTCCGGCATATTCCGTGATATTCCGGCATATTCCGTGATATTCCGCCATATTCCGTGATATTCCGGCATTCCGGGTTTTCACAACGCCCCAGTTCCTGGCACATTGAACAAAGAAAACTCAAAATCTACTACAAAAACAACGAAATTTGTCGCGAATTTCATGAAGTGTTGTTATAAAGTTGATAAGGTAATTATAAGTATTACTGTGTTTAATATTTTTATAATTATGTGTTATCATAATCTGTATATATACTGTAGTACTATAATTATAAATATTTTAAATGCCTTAAAAGACATTTTCGTAGCAATTAATGATTGCGGTAGTGACTCAGAAAATAACGCAATAATTAATCAACAATTCGTTCTATTTTTTTAGATTTCTGGGGCCAGTTGTTCAAAACCCGATAAGCCTAACCCTAGCTATAGCCTATATATATATAGGTTAACTACTTCACTTAAAGTGCAAAGCAAACTTCCCAAAACCTTGTTTATAAATTTAAACTATTTCTTTAGAAATCTTGTCTGGATCAGTAGGAGTTTTCTTCTCTGAAGTTTTAAAACAAAATATGTGCAGAAATACATGAACTAAAACATCAGGTTAAATTTTAACAGATGGTTAGGGTTATTCCAGCTTTAAATGAGAGTGGTCTGTGAATGTGTTGTTGTTGCTAATTGTGGAATATCAACAACGAATTATGGGTGTTCTCTGAACTTCAACTTCACAATTGCTTCACAAGAGAAAAAGTAGAAAGAAATTGTGATTATTTGTCGCGAAAATATAAAGTATAACTGGTATATTGGCACTTACTCTTCCAAACAACAGGATAAATTTGAACTGAAATTTTGAATTCAGTCGCGTACTGGCACGGTAGTAGAATTTTTGAGCGATGGAGTGAATTACCAAGGTCATAATTCATACATACACTGATTGGTTGTAATAGATAAATACATTCCATACATTATATACATATATACAGTCATGTTGTTGACAGGACACGTCGTAAACCCTAACATCCCAGGGAGAGTGGGGCCCAAATTCTTTCCACCTTCTCCAGCATTTACACCAAAATCCAGCCTTGGTTTTTCCTTCAGGTAATCGATGAGTAGTTCTTAGAAAATGAGTTTGCAACTTTGCATTAACTTTACTGTATATATGATTTATTGATTTTAAAGCTTAATGGGGATATATGATAAAGCAATACTCATGCAGTGCTCTGACCAGTGGCTCAGAAATGGTCAGAGCGCTGCCCGGAATCGCTGCACAGATTCGATACCTGCAGCCGAAGGGCCTATGGTTTATTTTTCATAGCTGCTCCCAGCCAGGTCTAAAATATGTACCGGGTATACAATTTTCGCTCTAAATTTCCATCAAGAAAACCCTTGAGCAATATATAGTTCATAAATATTGAGATGCTGCATGGGTTTGGTGGATAATACAAGTGCATGCAGAGCATATATATACACAATTTAAGACCTAACCAGGAACGGTTGCGAAAAATGCAACACTAGGTCCTTTGGCAGGAATCGAACCTGAGACTCCAGTGCAGCGCTCTAACCAACTGAGTTACAGAGGTCAGTTGTCGAGCTGTAACCGCAAGTTCAGGTATATATACAGGGTGTATCAAAAAAAGCGCAATCCTCGACTGAAATGTAAATTGCTAAACAAATAATAGACGAAAACGTTAAAGTTTACATTCATTTTAAAGCGTAGCCATTCAGCTTTCTAACAGTGGGTTGTTTCTTAAATTTGACTCATTGGTTCGCGGGTAATAATACTTTACGTTATTGCGATTGGAGATTAAAAAAATTGAGATGGAATAACAAATCGTTCTCATGAAAATAACTGATTTTTTCATTAAAACAAAAAAATGTTGCATTTTATTAAATAGATTGTAACAATAAGTATAATTACGGCTTTTCTTCCACTATTTTTAACTCAGTTTTAAACTTCAAATGCGATATAATTTTGGCTTGGACCATCTAAGCTGACTGACATCAGCTTGCTATAATTTCTGTTTACATTACATCGTAATTCGATGACACTCTGGCTCAGACACCAGAATGTTTTGATTCTATGATTTTTAGCATTCGTTTAGGATTTTCAAACAACCTGGTCTCTTTTAAAATACTTTTAATTTGTTCTTACGTGGTTTTCAGATGTAGTGACGACAACATTAAAGTTTAAAGAAGAAAATTCTAACATTTAAACCGACTAAACAATAACATAGTAAACTTGCATAATTAAACAGCAACTAAAAATGATAGGTTTTACTAAATCTTTTCCTGTGCAATTATTACTAGCATTGGAGACAAGGATAATAGTTTGTTTGAAAGAGAAAAGAACAGGCTTTGAAGTAAGCCTAAAAGCGTTTAACTAGAAATAGTATTTCGAAAGTTATTAAGCACAAAAGATGAATTGCGTTTATTTTGATACACCCTGTAGATTTTCGGGTGTGCGGATTGTGATTGTACATATTGGCCTATATTTTAGTGTATATATTTGTTTTTCCTATCGTTTCCAACATTCCAAGAGCTCAAAAAACTTAAATACATCTTCAGTTTGTTGAGTACACAACCCAGGTTCTGCACTTTCAGACTTACAATGACACGAGAGACTAGCGCTCTCATATTCAAGATCATCTGACATAAAGCTCATTATATCTGGTTCATCCCTGTCTTCGTTTGCCTTTTTTTCTTTAAATATTTTCCTCTGTTGAAATGCAAGATCACTTGCAGAGACATCCAAGGAGACCAATCCAGGGTAGGTTGACTCTTTCGAATTATAGTTCAATGCTTCTGATGCTTTTTCTGCAATATCTTGACGGAGTTTTCCAGATTTCTTCAACTCTTGTTTAATCAAAGAAGGTGCATCAAATTTCGTTTGATTCAGTTCTTTTATCTTCTGTGTTACTATAGCAGTTGTGTTCATTTGAGGTTGGCTCAAAATACTAGATAAACAACAAAGGTAAAAACATGGTCTTCAACATGGTAAGTAAGTACAGTAAGTCATGGGGTGTACTATAATTATCCTTAATTGTAGCGGAGTTGACATATACCAAGGCTTACTGAGGCTGCCACCATGAACGACCATGCAATGAGTACAACTAAAATGGAAGGGACTTAAACTATCAAAATATTACATATATTATTAATAAACTTGTGTATGCAATCTCCAAAACATGCTATGCTTTGGCTAAATTGTATGGGATATACTTGTCTATCTTATCACAAATATGCGCAATTGTCACAGGTCATATTAACTAACTTCCTGACGAAGGACTTTCGCTCGAAACGTCAAACTTGGCATTAATTTTACATTTTCCAGGTAGTGGACTTGAATCCCTATTCATCTCTATTTTCTGGTGTGTTTGGTACTACCTACGCTGGCACAGATCGTTCGAGTTCATATTTATAGAGAGGTTAAGATACCCCGGTTTCGGTGTACGGGTACGAGTAGTGTCATCTTGTTTTACTGATGTCTGTAATTCGATCATACTTTTTCTGTTTTCTTGCAATAGACAATGATATAATGCGAAAAATGTGCACCTTAATTACGAGTAAAGGTACAGATATCGACGAAAATATTGCTAACCAAAATCATGCTACTCGTACCCGTACACCGAAAACGGGGTATCTTAACCTCTCTTATATCTCTCATTTGGTTTGTGGAACAGTTTTTGCTGTGAGGTATTGTGTTGAAGTTTGGAATCTCTCAGCCTTTTTGGTGTATTTTCAAAGACAAAGAAAATTTTAACTGTGACCGAATATCTAGTTTGTTTGTTAAAAGCCCCACCCTATAGAAGATTAGATTCGCTTGAATACATTAATCATTATATTGTATGCAATTGGGCATATTCTAGAACAGTGTGTTACTATTCATTTCTTAAACTATCTGTAATGTAGTTTTTTAAAAAATGCATAAAAGCAAATCTTTCAGGTATATAAGCAGTACTCAGATTGAAATTGTATTCAGTGGCGAGGTCGATCTTGTATTTGTACCAATTGTACACACCATCGTAACATTCAACTGGACAAAGCCAAGTGTACCATGCATCTCCTTGTCTTAATAAGTCAGCAAACTCATGTGCAGATATATTAACTATGATTGGGGATAAATTATGATGAATTGAATTTTGTACAATGTACTGCAGTAGTAGAACTCCGCTGAGGGGAAAAATACGAAATAACTAAATAAGAATAGCAGGGAAAAGACGAAATAACTAAATATTAAGAATAGAAAACTCTTTAAAAACCTTTAATATCTGTACACTGATGAAACATGTAAACAGAAACAACTTTAAAGAGTACTTTTGGCATTGTTAAAACGTGCTAGTCATATTTTATTATATCATTTAGATAGGATCACAATGGAAACCTACTTATATAGTCTACTAATTTGCCAGTAATTGCATTACTGTATATTCAGTACCCTATTACTAACCTTACAAAGTTATGGTAGTTCAAGCTAGCTTTAAAATAAATGCCTTGGGCTTAAAAACATCAAAACCAAGAATTTCTATTGTGAGAAAGGCTAATAATAGGTTGGAAAAAATTGGCATTCTAGAGCAACAAAATTTCAAAAATTCCTAGGTCAGCATGCACCCACATCCCCTAAGCATTTTTTCTCAGTTATTTCTTAATATATATTAAGTGTTGTAATATGAAATAAATAAATGTAAAAACATAATTGCAGCTGAAAATAACATTAATTTGGAATTTCTGCATTTTTAGACTTGTACGTCCAACTAAACTCGATCTGTACCATATTTTATATTTGTGTCAAAATTATGCCATGGCCAAGTGTTTGACTGGCAAATACATGTAATTTAAACAAATATTTCGATATTTTAGCAAATGATAGCTTGTGTTCAATACATGGTTGTATTTTTAAACGAACGAAGCATCAATCAACATATATATGTAGTTCTAGGATATGCAGCTGTATAAAATTGAAGATAAAATAGTTTTTAATGAACAAGGCAGCAAGGTAATAGGGCAATGCAACCTTATGATACCATCTTACACAACATCAACAACAATATTGGATTTCATATTATCTAAGTGACAAGTACCATAATATTATACACAATCTAACACAACCTGACAGTCAGTTAGGTATTGAAGAGGTTCAGATTTGTTTTCCACTATTGCTACCACTACCTAGTTCACTGGCTTAGTATGCATGTGGTTGGTTAATGGTCCCTCAATGGTAGTTGGTAGTTAAATTTGAAACTCTCTATTGTTTACCACCTGACACCATCTTCATCACCTGACAATGACTGTATTAGGCATGTATGACATAATTTCAACCAGTTTGTATACGACATATTGTCTAATTTCTCTCTTTCGACACACTAAATTATTTTATTATTATTATTATTTATTTATTTATTTCGCCCAATTTTCCAAAGTACAATAAAATTTAACTATTTACCCTTTTGGGCTTTTATTTTAAGACCCCTAGTTATAACAAATTTTTTTTACTTAGTATAATTTCATGATGTCATAAAAATAGTACATAATTATATAATAACGAAAATATATACAATTGTGAGAGTGTTTAAAGGAAAGTTAGTCTATTTACAAGATTTTTCAGATTTTTTAAACTTTATACATTAAAATAGGATGATTAATTAGCTGATTGGTGTGATATAAAGTATGTTTTCACATTTTTTTTGAAAACCATATATGATCCAATATTTTTTAACTCGGTACTTAAATTATTCCAAATGTCAATACCTTTACTAACAACAGATTGTTTTCTATAGTTTGTTCTTGTATAAACTTTATGCAATTTTTTTTTAATTTCGCGTGCAATATGTTCATGAATGTTTGAATTTTTTATGAAGTATCCATTAAAAATGTCAGGTAAATCATTAGTACAGTTGCAACGGTACATAAATAAGCTGGTAAGGTAATCGTTAATTTTGAAAATATTTAATATTTTCAAATCATTAAATAGCGGTTTTGTATGTTCTGTGTATGATTTAAATTTCCATTAATTGTAAAATTTGTCAGAGTCTTTTAGTTTTTAATTAGTGTGTCGAAAGAGAGAAATTAGACGATATGCCATGTACAAACTGTTTGAAATTATCGAACTCTTTCCTTGCTTCCGTGAACAAAATTGTAGAGAAATGACATAATTCCTATGCCAATTACTGCTAAAGTTTCAAACTATTATTAGCTAAGCTCTAACTATTATTGGCATAATTTCTTGTGGTGACAAGCCAATCAGATGTCATCATGCTAAAGATGTGGATTTCATTATGTTAGATGTGGATTTCATTACAAAAAAATCATTCTTTGGAAAAATTCGAACATGTCCAGTGTCCAATAGTGGAAAGTTATTTTTTATGTGCCGAATATTTACGTCAAGTTGACACATTATGATATTTGTACTCCAGTCCGATAGACATAAATACAATAGAACCTATTGATTCTTCCCTTTGGTTTGTGCCAAACTGGCATAAAAACATATCCTTGGACGCCAAGATATTCAGCGCAATACCCCAACTTTCCACCATGGGTCAGGGTGCATTTTAAGTGCAATACGCTGAAGATTTTCAGCGTGAGTTTGGCAAATTACAATACTATACTATAGTTAATATTTGGTATATCTTCGGCATTTAATACATGGAATGCAACCTGGGCCCATGGCCCAACCACTTCAAATGCTGTTGGAAAAATGTATTTGTAATTCCATATCAATGCAAATGGTGAGCTAAAATCTATAACTTTAATGCTCATGACCTAACTCCAGCGTGTCGTTTTACATGGAATGCACCCTGGCCACCTGGAAATCTCTTGGTATGGCCTAAAGCTGTGCAAATTTCAGTTATTTTTGCTCCGGGTCCGGCAGTCAAACCTCCAGCAAGGAAATTTTAAAGATAGGGTACAGTCCGGTCTGGGCATGCTCACATAGTCTCCTGCTGTGATGTAAGTAACACTTTAATTAGATTTTCATTTCATTTATGTTCTTGCAAAGCCTGATTGTTATATCATGATCATTTATTATACTGTAGAAGCATAAAAATATAAATAGTTGTCGAATAAAGTTTAATATTTTGAATACCAAAATGTAAACAAAGGCTTTGTTTACACACGGACTGTACCCTACCTTTAAGGAAATTTCATATTTAAAAGTAGAAGCAGATGAAAGTATTTCAGTGTAATTTCAGAATTTATTTTATTCTTTTTTGAGCTTTTTCCTTTACCTACCAAATATACGTGCTTCGGTGCTTTGTTACAATGTCTTGTAGAAAGTAAAACTGCAAGCAGCGTGGTATTTTCGCCCAAAATACCAGGCTGCATTTTCTGCACCACGTACAGAAGATCTTCCGCGTACATTTTTTATGCTTTCTATATATTTACTATTAAATTTTCTAAATCTCTGACCGGTGCGCAATTTCCAAACTTTGCAGTCTGGCCAAAATACATCGGAGTCAGCAGATTTTTGTACCAAAAGCAATAGCAATGCGCTTGCAGAATTTCCGAAGCCATGAATCGGATTGGCACAAGTAATTAAACTTTATAATACCCTCAAATCATTCAACTTAATTTTTCCATTACCAAAAGTTCATTGAAATATGAAATAATTTTTCATAATTTTGTCTCCCGGAGTTTTCCAACTCCGGCTTCCACAAAATATGCCGTAGCTCCGGTACTCCAGCGCACAGCCACAGAGTACATACATACAGAGGCGTCACTTCTGCTTGAAAACCCATAAGGTGTTTTGTCGGGCCACCATGTTCTTAGCAAGTACATGCACATGTGCAGTCTTTAATCTTTAGTCTTTAAAAAGATTAAAGACTGTGCATGTACAGGCCAGACTGCATTTTCTCCACCGAGCGCATTTTTTATGCTTTCTATATATTTACTATTAAATTTTCGAAATCTTCCGCGCGCAATTTCCAAACTTTGCAGTCTGGTGTACAGGTACTGGATATAGAACATGGCAGCCCGACAAAACACCTTACAGTTTTCCAGCAGAAGTGGCGCCTCTGTATGTACCTACTCTGTGGCACAGCTCTAGTATGGCCCCTGTCTTTCCAAATAGAAATGTAGAATTTTATAGCAAAAAAAATAAATCTGTGCAAACTATTAAAATATTCACAAGAAATACGCTTACTTGTCTTTTGTAACCACACCATTATAACAATTTGTATGTGGCTGCCCTTCTCGCCTCAAGTATGGCTCACAAAAGCCCTTCTTCTCTGGCGTGACATTCAACTGTACGTTAATTTCAGGACTGAGCAAAGGAGCTCGATTAATGGGTTTGGGAGGTCTTCTATTTGGAAGATGATCAACCTCCATTATTAAAATTTCAAAATTATATTAAAGTGGCCATCCAAAGGACCCAAAATACCGTCATTCTTAGTTACATCCAGTGGTTTAATATATCTGTGGTGTTCATCTTTAGTATTTAAAATACCATGTTGAATCCCCGCGCCATTTTAAATTAAATTTTGATTCCTTTAATTACGTCATGTTATACAAAATATAGTGGGCGACATAAAACCCATCAAATTTCCGCACTGTCAGTCTGTCACAAAAGTGAAAGCATGAAAACAAGAGCTGCAAACTGTGTGCGGTAGCTGACACAATTCCTTTGCTGTACGTACGTGAGAAAAATTCTGGTGCCCGAAGTGAATGCGTTTTGTTCATATGACAAAACAAGCCACAAAATTCCGTAAAAGCAGAGGATTCCGATCGCTACGGAAAAGACACATTTCAAAGAGGGTCCTGAAGGGGGGGGGGGTCCCAATCCCATTTCCCACCTGAAATTTTGGCAAAATCCCAGTCCCAGTTGGATTTTTATTAGAAATCCCAATCCCAGTTATTGAAATCCCAGTCAATAAAAACCCCTTTATTTATCGGTAGAATAAACAGTTTTAAGACCTTTTAAGCAAGTGGCGGACACTTTATGAAATATTAGGGGGGGCTCGTGCCGAAGGCACGGAAAATTTTTAAATTTGAATCCCGGAAATGGCATTTGCAGCATTCTGAGACACGCATAATCAGAAAACCCAGAATTCCGGGCGCCAGAGTATGCCTGTTCGCAGGTAGTGCTGTGAATAATATAGTTAACAACAAAAATCATGACCAAAGACACCAAAAACGGATCAAAATTGTATTTTAAAATACTCAAAACGCAGAAAAATTGGGAATCGATTCGCATTACCTCAATCCCATTCCCAATTTTGAGGACTTCATTTCCCATTCCCAGTGGCCAAATCCCAGTCCCAGCAACCCAAATCCCATTTTCCCAGTCTAAAAATAGATCAATCCCAGTTCCCATTTAATTTTACCCCTTCAAAGCCCTCTTCAAAATTTTATCGGCAGTTTATAATAGAAGCTCGTGCAGGTTCAATTATATTTCCAGGTTCAAGTACTGGCCAGGCGGGGATCGTTCGTTTTGAGCAACTTTTTGCGTTTGGAGCAACTTTTTTCGGTTCGAGCAACTTCAAGCAACTTTTTCCTTTTTGAGCATTTTTTAGCAACGTTCTAGATCTTGCTTGTGTGATGTTACTCTGAGTGCATATCCACATCGGGCAGGCTTGAAAAATATGCCTGGCCACGTGGGATTCGAACCTACGACCTTTGGAATACTAGCACAATGCTCTTCCAACTGAGCTACGCGGTCAGGTCGGTTGGAATATGTGATATTTCGGAACTGAGTCTAGTTCCTTCGATATCAGTGTAATCTAATAATCATGATATTTGCTGTGTTGGTGTAATGTACTCAGGTGAATAAGATGCTTGTCAGCTTGTGTGATGTTACTCTGAGTGCATATCATACTAGATAGCGCATCTATTTTAGTAAAATTGAAGCCAAGAATATTCCAGCGGTTACCCCCATTTGAATAGATGGCGGCCATGTTGGTCGTTCCCACTTCCTAATAAACGCTTAAAAACAACAATAACTTTCATCATTTGAATAGTTTAAAAACGTATTTGGAATAGGGTTAACTTCATGTTTAAGTTCCGTGTTTAAGAAATAGAAAATATACGAATCTTCTCATTTCATGGGAACGACCTGAGACTGCAATCACGGCTTCAATTTTTGAATTGCAGAATAATTAGATGCACTATCTAGTGTATATAAGATATCTATGGTGCATATCCACACCGGGCAGGCTTGAAAAATATGCCTGGCCACGGTGGGAATCGAACCTACGACCTTTGGAATACTAGCCCAATGCTCTGCCAACTGAGCTACGCGGTCAGGTCGGTTCGAGGATGTGATATTTCGGAACCGAATCTAGTTCATGGCGATTGCATTCAGTGTTGCGAAGGAGTTCAATCAATACTCTGAGCCCATTTCCACTCAAGAAAATTTTCCGCGGGAAGAAAAATTTGTAAAATGTTATTGGCCGACACAAATTTTCCGTTGGAAAAAATTTGACGTTGAAAATGTTCAACTTTTAACAATGACATTTTCGGAAAATTTTCTGCCCGTGGAGATCATCCTCACTCACGCCAAATTGGAATTGCATCGACCAATGTCATTTTATATAATCGTACAATTTACAATCCATTTGGAATGGCTGCAAGCGTTTGCAGGAAACTTGTGATGAGTAAAAAAATTGAGATACCATACCAGGAAAATGAGTAGTTTACCCGTAGTTAGGTAGTTGGTATCTTTGAAAACTTCGTATTACGTCCAAAATCGACTGAAATCCCCTCGTGAGATTCGCTGCACTTGTTCGATGCGCAGCAACAACTGGAAAGCTCGAAAATATTTATTCTGAACATTCGAAAGCACTTAGCCTTAGGTTGGACTGCTTAATTTAAACGGTTGGTATAAAAGGCGTCAAATCGCCAGTTTTTTTGTAGATGCTAGAGCCAGAGGACCGAAATTCTGTCGGGCAATCCCGCCGTTCGGATCCTTGTGGAGCGGAAAGAAATATAATTTTGACAGTTATAGCAAATTTATGACAACATATAAATTAAGTTAACGAGACTTGTTTAGAATTTAGAATCACGTAGAAACAGGACGGGATTGGCCACATCCACCAATATTCAATCGTTTAAAGTATATGACTGACTTTTATTTGGAAAGATAAATTAGTTTTACAACAGTTCAGTTTTAAATGATAGTTTTACCCCTTAAAGTTCATGTTTATGTTTTTTGGACCTGTTTCCTATCTACAAAACAATTGTTAGAGTCTACAGGTATTGCAATGTTAGTCTAAATACAACTGGATGTCATGAATATTAATGTCGTTCTCCTACTGGTCCTACAGTGCAATCAAGTTTTATATACACTGTAAAGAATAATGAAATAATCTTTATGAACTGAATAATTGTAGAATAATCCAATAAACTTTATGAACTGAACAAATGAAGAACTGGATATCAACTAAATGTTTCCACAAAGCATATGGTGAAGAAGTCAGAAGTAATAAATCTTAATGGGAATCGACTTGTGATTACTGTGTTGGATTGATAGCGGATGTTAATGATATAGAATCTGTTACATTTGGTATTCATGTCTCCACTGCGGTTTGAAAGCAAAGTGTAATGAAGTTAAAATGGTAAGGAATTCCATATCAACCCTTTATATATACTGATATACAGGCCATTGATCAACTGGTGTGCTTAGCGAATTGTTTTGCAATGCTGGTTAGCTGCTTCAATGGATGGCTTGTGATATTATGCAGTATTTTACATTTTCGAGAAATTATTACTACAGAAACTGTGCAGGCGAATGCTACTTCATTAGATTTCTTGCATCTTTATGAAATCAGGGCAACTGAAATGTCGAAAACAACAACGCGAATGTCATGGCAGTATGAAACAGATTTAAATGAAGACAATCTACGGAGGTCAGTTCAAGCTTCAACCAAGGCTACGTTGTTCTTTATTGAAGGTAGTAATAATGCAACAGCTGTACTTGCAATGCCTGGTCTATCCAAGGATATCACAAGACAGTTAATGCTTATCAGTCGTAGTGCTTCGCCTAAAGCAGAAGATAAACTACGACTTCTTAACGAACTTCAGGCAAAGATGACGGGAATTTATAGCAAGGGAAAAGTGTATTATTTAGATAAACAAACAAGGAAACCCCAATATCTTGAACTTGAACCTGGTTTGATCAACTTTATGGCAAAGTCAAGAGATTATAATAAACTATTATTTGCTTGGCAAGGTTGGCGAGACGCTGTTGGTCCAAGAATGAAGCCTTTGTATGAAGAATTTGTAAAGATTGTCAATTTAGGAGCCCGCGAGCATGATTGGGTGGATAACGGTTACTTCGAGCGTTCTCATTATGAACTTGGATCTAATTTCAAACCAACACTAAACAAAGCATGGGAGGAAATACAACCTCTGTATGAAGAACTTCATGCTTACGTACGTTATAAACTCAGTTTAACTTATAAGAATGTCTCTGTACATAAACCCATACCAGCACATGTCCTCGGTGACATGTGGGGACAACATTGGGATCATGTATTTGATTTGATAAAGCCATTTCCAAATACAAGTACGATTGATGTCACGCAAAATTTACGTGCTCAAAATTACACCGTTCAAAAGATGTTCGAGCTGGCGCAGTCATTCTATATATCCATTGGCTTGGATCCAATGCCTTTTGCTTTTTGGAATATGTCGTTGTTTGAGAGACCAAAAAATAGAAAAGTAGTTTGTCATGCTTCAGCTTGGGATTTCTCTGACGGGGAGGTCAGGTAAGGAAAAGTAGTGTAGGTTTTGTTAGATCTCATGCCAAATTTCGGAAATCTGAGTTCTGGTCATGGATGGCCTAGCCCTATAGCCCCATTTGCCGAGTCATTTCCTCAACGTATTTTGGTCCATACGCCCGATTCATCAGCATCGCAAGAAATATAACTGGGGTCCAGTTACAATATTGACTATTCCCATGCAAACTACAAATAATTTGGCCATCCTTTTAGTTGATTTTTTACCCTTGCCTTGCTCTACCGCAATGCAGCACGATTTAAGTTGTTCGTTCGAAAAAGTAAACTTAACACAAACACACCTTCATACTACTAATACATGTCACAACTGTTTGCAATGACGACTTTCATTTTTGTCAACTACTGTAGGATAAAGATGTGCACAAAGATAAGTCACAGTGACCTAATAATCATACATCATGAAATGGGACACTGTGCTTACTTCCTGGCATATAAAGATAAACCATTTGCATATCGTGGTGGAGCTAATCCAGGATTTCATGAAGCTATAGGAGACACTATTGCACTTTCTGTAGAGAATCCAACACATCTTAAAGAAATTGGTTTGCTGTACGAAGCAGAAGACACGTATAGTAAGTGGAACCATTGACATTTACTGCATGTACGTACACTTTAGGAAATGGTGTTCCTCATAAAAAAAATTAAGGTGGCTCAATACAGTTTTTAAAAAAAATGGAGCAAAAAAATTTAATATTATGAATAATCACCTTTACGTAATTCAAAAATTTTTTGGCTCCACAGAATTTTTTTAAATTGTCAAAATAATTGATTATACAAAGAGAAATCATTTTCTAAAATAAAATTTGGGTCACGATGTCGTTTACGAGTTAAATTACTTTAAAGCCAAAAAATCCGCCATCTTGAACGTCATTGTTGCCATAGCAACGGCAGTTGCGTAATTTTTGTGCAGAAATTCAAACTCTTTAGATGTTGTTTTATATGTCAAGTAATAATTGTCCAAAAATACGCATCTAAATCGTGAATTTTCCATTTTTTTAAAAACTGTATTGAGTCTAACTGATGTTTCAGGTCTCGCGTGGGAGGTTACTGCAACGTTGCGTGGGAGGAAAATTGATGTCGAAGTTGTATAATGCAGATATACATACATCTTTACTCACTCAAAAAGTTACAATAATACGTTACAAAAAAAGAATGCGTATAGCTATCTGAAATAACCATTTGTGGGCAATCAATCTAGTCAGAGATAGCTATTAGAACGAAATATAAAGAAAAGTAATTGTTAGAACTAGTCTTGAGGATACGTGGGTGTGTCAGGCCCCCCTCATTTCCCCGTGGCATCGCCATTGACTAAGAAGATCAGCACGAACCAATTGACAAAAAAATCACATAGATACAAAAATAAACCAATTAGCCTTTCTCACACCGCCATTTTTGGGTGGCTTTTGAGCCGAAGTCTGCGAGATAAGTCCACGAATGATGGTAAATTTGCTTTATAAATGGTTAGTTTATTTTGAAAAATTGCTTTTCACATTGTTTTAATTGTCAGGATTATCTCGTCAGTGTAGATAGCGACGATAACAAGACGGCTGGGGATTGAGAGAGATATAATTACCTGAAAAATACATGCAGATCTTCAACGTTTCCCGACGAAAGGCATATCATTTCAACAATCTCCTCTTTCATTTTAGAAAATTCCATAAGCTTTCTTCTCCGACAAGCTCTTCAACGTGTTGCATTTGTTCCGTTTGCGTTCCTGGTTGACCAATGGCGTTGGAGAGTGTTTTCAGGCAATATAACGTCAGATACGTACAACTCAGAATGGTGGAATCTTAGAACCCAGTACCAGGGTGTAGCTCCACCAGTGCCACGTCATGAGAAAGATTTCGACCCAGGTGCTAAGTTTCATATTGCCGCAAATTCACCATATATAAGGTACGTCTGCATGAACGGTTAGCGTTATTTATGAAGTTTATGTCAGAACCGCTCTAAATATCGGAAACACTGCACGACAAACCAAACCATTAATTTCGAGCGAGGAGTCAACCTCGTACCCAGGCAGGCCCTGGGTACGAGGTTGGCGAGGAGTTAAGCCTGGTTCACACGATGAAATAAGCATAAGCATAAGCATAAGCATAAGCATAAGCAAGCGGAACCTTTGATGTAAACATAAGAAGAACAAATGTTGCGTTCTTCTTATGCTTACGTTTATGCACATATTTAGGCGATATAACCGCGGCACAGTGGCATGCAGTGGTTAGAATGCTGCCCCAGAATCGCAGATTTGGTTTCGGTTGAAGGGCCCAAAGTTGCATGATGTTACACGAACCTGGCAAATTATCGCTTAGCTTCTCTGGTTAGATGTAGGTTATATGTATGTATTTTTCGAAATTTCCATCCTTGAATTATTTTTAATTAACCCATTGAGTGCCAGCGCTCTCCCCCTGACGAATAAAATCGTCTGGCGTTAGACAGAGTAAAATAATAAAGTAGGGCGCATCTGGACGCATTACCACTTAAAGGGTTAAATTAACAGGATGCATAGGCAGATAGTCTGATCAGAGTCGCAGAGACGGGGTGGGGCCAAATTGCCCCAGGCCCCAACTTGAGAGCGAGAGTTAGTTAGAGTAGGTTCTTTAATTAATTAAATTAAATTGGTACGTAAGAGCATTTTTGAAATGAGGGCCCCTTACAGTAACTCCACATGCAGTCTAGCTAAGGTCTAGTTGGGTGACTAACTTGGGTCTAGCTTAAAAATGATGATGTCATGGGGCCCCCAGAGAAGATTTGTCCCGGGCCTCGCGAATTCTCTCGGCGACCCTGAGTGTGATTAACTCATTGAGTGGCAGCGCTCTCCCCGTGAAATAATAAAGTGTAGGGCGCATTGCCACTTAAAGTGTAGAAGGTGTAATGAATTTTATTAGCTATAATTTTGTTCATATATATATATCAACGTTTTTCACATTTGTAGTACCTTCCTTTACAGTTATTTCTTCAGCCAAATCCTGCAGTTTCAGTTCCATCGTAGTCTATGTAAGATTGCACGATCCAAGCAACCATTACATAAATGTTCAATTTATAAATCGAAGAAGGCTGGGAAAAAATTTAGGTATGTACCTAAATCTTGAGGTTTATCATGGCAGTAACAAAGGCACCCAATATGGAAAATACAAACTGTTATATATCTCTTTTGTGGTCATGGATATCTTTGCAAGTTTCAGTGCAACGTTTGTGTTTCTGATGGTGACTCTGAAAATATAGTCGAAAGCTAAAATATTAAAAATGTTAATTTCATGAGCTACCGTTGTTTTGTATTTTTGAGCCAAACATTCCCACGATGTTTTATTATAAATTGCTTTCTTAAATTAAAAAATCGATTGCAATGTATAAATTGGAGAGGGCATATGGAAATGACAGAATGAAGTGATTGTTGATTAATAACACAAATACGACAGCTAGTGACCGAAAAGACGAATCGAGCCATTGGTCAGTGATCGGCCCTCAGCATAACACTTAACATTATCTTGTGAAAACCCCTGTTCAGTTCACTATGCCACCAATCACCCATTGATCTGACATATTTGTGCAAATAACTTATTTACCAAGAAATATAGGAATATAAGAACAAACAGTTTTAATTGCCAACTATATCAGTATATCAACTGTTATTTTTTGTTAAATTTTGCAGAGAAGTCCTGGCCGCTGGTTCAAGTTACCCCTGGCCACAAATCCTTTACAAGTTGACAGGAGAAAGAGAGCTTCGTGTAGACGCCATGTTGGAATACTTTGAACCTTTACTAACATGGTTAAAATCTGAAAGAGAGAGAATAAAATATCCAATAGGATGGAAAAAGTCAAATGTACCTGTCGGGAGGAAAAGTGAGATAGTATCAACGGATATTGATAAACCAATCTTCTTAAAAAACAGTTCTGATGTGGGCTTATCATATGTGCGGGCAATTAAGAAGGAAAGTAAACTGATGCAGGCAAACAAGTCTGATCATAGTTCAGGGCAGAAAAGTAAAGCGGACAGTACTTCGTTTAACGTATCTCAAAATGGATTAACAGCTAGCAAAGCAAATACGCAGTCGCGAAGTGTTCTTGGACCTTTAGGCCAAACAAAGTCTTCAATTCTTACCAGACCTGTGTTTGTGCCGTCCACTGGAAAAGATCCTTTGACTTTAGTAAAGAAAAACGATGAGAATAGGTACAGCTCCAAACTGTATGGATAGAAGATTTTATTATATTGCATACTATATGAAAATTATATAATTTTTGGAAAAGAAAAGCCTTCATATGTCAAATAAGCTAAATAACTTGTTTAATTATACAAGAAAATTGTCGCTACAAACTCAACTCACGTACGAAACACTAACAGGGCTGCTAATAAGTTGCCGGGGGCAAAACATTCCCAGGGGGCCTTATGGCGTCATAAAATTTTCCAAGGGACACCTATGTCGTCATAACGGGAGAAGCGATGTTTTTTATTGCGTATTATTATACATTGTATAGTTAATTGGTAAAAGCAATTTGATTGGCTAAGAGCTTACAGTTAAATCGCGCAATCACGCAACCTACACAAAATTCAGTTATCTGCTAGCAGATAACTCAGTTATCTGCTAGCAGATAACTGAATTTTGTGTAGGTTGCGTGAGGTTGAATGAGTGTACATTTCAAATGAGTGTACATTTCAATTTTTAAATGAATGTACATTTCATGTAATGTTTACTTTAACAAGTAAATATTTTAATACGTTAACATCTTAACGATAATATGTTTCTTCTATATTTGTAATTAATTTAACTGTTGGACTTCCGGACACTTGTTTATAGAAACGTTTTACTTGAACAGCTTTGCCAGAAATCATATTGAATATAACGCTTACCGAGACCTTGATAATTTTGCATATCGCAAAAAAATTAAAATATTAAAATACTATGTTTATTATTTTTCAAATGTATAATAAAACAATGATTGAATTCGGTTTTTGCGATATGCAAAATTATCAAGGTCTCGGTAAGCGTTATCAGCCTCGCCTTCGGCTCGGCTGATAACGCTTACCTCGACCTTGATAATTCCGCATATCACAAAAACCTCATCCAATAATTGTTAATTATCCGGCACTGAGGATTTAATTATATTCTCGGTTAAACAATCTTGTATCCTGAACTGTTATTGATGCTGTTTTTGTACGAACTTTTAGGTTTATTGATATCTTCCGAAGTAACTGCGTCGTTGTCATAGATATCTCATATCGTTGTTCGTTTACCTTACAAAGGCTTTTGCTATGTTCTCGGTACAAACTTTATCAATGTACAGGAAATGGATAGCAGCAAACATACTACTGTTTAGGTTGTTCTCAGACATGGTAGACCTTGGGCCATGGATAGCAGCAAACATACTACAGTTTAGGTTGTTCTCAGGCATGGTAGACCTTGGGCCATGACTTGATACGTATCTCATTCGCAAACTTGCAAAATTTAAATGTACAACGTTGGCTTTCCGAATTTTGACAGTATAAATTTTAACTCAGGGTGATAAAATAAATTCAAGAGAACATATTAGCCTTTGTAGAGGCATCATCTCTTAAAAATATACATATAGGCACATGGCTGCCCCCGCATACCCCCGTACGCATAGGTCAGCGGGGCCAGCTGCCTCCCCGCCTCTGTGTCTCACTTGCTGTGTTTGTGCTCTGTTCTTAATCGTCTGTTTTATTATCGTGTATTCGTGATTGCTATAAAGCTCACGAACTGCCATCTCTCCTGTTATGATCCAAGATAAAAGCCTACCCTGTAGCGCCTCAAGTATAAATTTGAAATTGCAATGCATGCATATACTGCATGTTCAGTTCGGGATTATAAATCAAAGGCCTTCGAGGCCGACTCACGGATGAGATCAAATTAATTAAAGGAGGATATATGATTTACAGCAGTTTTTTACAAATGGGAACCGTGCAAGGGCAAGGACATTGTTTGGTAAAACACGACATAATATAAAATGTTCCCGAAGATCTTACAGGTTTAAACAGTTTAATTTTAACGACATCCTCGATTTTAACAATAAGGGACCGGTCAGTGTGACCAGATATTTTGCAAGGCAATTACTAAATAAGCATGCAAAAAATTACCAAAACGTAGAAAAAATTACTAAATTTCTGCTGTCAACCAAAGTGGTCTGAAAATCAATAAAACATCTCAGCAAAACAAAATCAGTAAGATGCTTTCCATCACTTAAACTATGTTTTTCCATGTTTTTCTTTCTGACTTGTACTTTTTGATTGCAATTGTGCAAAATAAAATAAGGCGCCATGATGATCGACCCGGGTCCCGGGTCCCTAGCCCGCAATCAGCACAGGGTGAGTGGTGATCAGCAGGATTCTGTCGATTCAGCTGGACAGCTTGGGCCAGCAGCTTACAATTAGGATGTACAGCTTTGCAGGCATGGACATGTAACTGTTGTCATTGAATTTTGGAATAACAGGTTGTGTTAGTTATGACGTATTTGGTTGAATTTCATGAGATAACCAAAATATTACTAACTTTAAGAAAAATTACTAAAAAAATTACCAAAAAATTTCAATTACCAAAAAAGTCAGAAAAATCGCGAAATATTACCAAAAGTAATTAAAATTACCAAATCTGGTCACACTGGGACCGGTCATTATTTATGAAAGGGGGTAGGGAAAAAATAAGGGGGGCCATATGTAGAAATGACTAGAAGGGGGGCTATTAAATGAAAGAAAATGAAA